ACTATAATACAAATATGCTCAAATAGTCAATATGAGTAGGCATATATATATACATATATCTGTAAATAACATATGCTGTAGTATTAAAACCTATAATGCAAATAAATATCTATCATGTGTATATATGTCTTCGTTATTTATGCACATATTTTGATGTTAAAAATAGTAGTATATTTATATATATATGCATTTTGTAAAGAAATAATTAAATTTACACATCAAGAGACCTAAAAACAATACACTTCGTAAATATTTATATACAAATTCATACATAGTAGCAAGATGTGATTGATAAGCGGAGTGCTGTATTCGCATGTCCGAGTCCCGACTGTCCGTCACAAGTTCACAAGGAGTAAGCGGCTGATATGCTACAAGAAAGTGTTGCAAATCAGCTCCTTTGTTGGGAATGCTTCCAGATCAAATTTTGTACCAGGTTATGGGTTAACTATAAATTAAACGACAAATGAGCAACATACCCGTTGTCGTAAAAGCTGTATATATCGTAATTGTGTCAAAGTCATGTCATTGCTATGAATGCCCGCAGCACTGGTGATTTTCCAAATCACACGCAACTGCAGCCCCCAAGAGACCTGAAAACACGCACCCATATATAAATCTAGCACGCACAGCCAGACATAGCGACACATTGTACGGCAAGTAACACACACTCGAGCACACATACGTACAATATGGCGTCACTAATGCGATCGAGGCTATCCTCGACAAGAGCCGTGTCTGTGCAGGCGCAGGCGATTAGACAGTTCACACGCTCAAGCGCTTGCATGACATCCAGCAAGTATCTGCAAGAAAGCCCCGTAGACTCTATGTACTTCCAGAATGCACTTCCACGCCTGCCTCTGCCTGAGTTAGACGAGTCTTTGGATCGTTATCTGGATTCGATCAAGCCCGTGACTTCTGCGGAGGATTATGCGGCCCACAAGGAGGTGTGTCAGGGGTACATGGGGAAAGATGGATAGAATATATATACATAGTGCGTTGTGAATTAATCGAGTTCAGCAAACATGCGTGCATAGCGGTGTATGATGTGTATGTTATATGGATGTTAGATACGAATTGAGTAATTATATGTGTATACGTGTATATACAGTTTCAAATCTCTGTTTACAAATTGTTTCAAATCTCTGTTTACAAATTCGTAACATTGCGCAATCGAGTCGCGGACGACGGCGGAGAAATATTCGGCCGACAAGCAATATATTGGAAATATGGCATTTAAGTACATGTTGGATACTTAATTAAGCAAGTATGCGCGTACTCCTGTAAATAAATGGGTCCTGCTGATGCGGGGGTATGTTAGTGGTAAGTGTGGGATGTGTTGTATATATATATATATCTATATACGATGTAGTAGTTAGCAAGTACATTGCATATTTCTATATACATGTGTAGATTATCTGTTTGTATGTGTATGACTATGTGCTTGTGGGGTGTTGTATACATTTATGTATTGACGTGCAGTGAAATAGTTGTGTGTGTGTGAAGCACATCTGCATACTGTATGTAGCAGACGCTCACTTGCATGCGACACCTGCATATGCAAATCTAGTTGTTTCTGTGGGTATCTATGGACACCAAATGGACATATATATATATATATATATATATATATATATAGTATATATGTATATATGTATATATATATATATATATAATAATATATATAGTTGTGTTGTTGTATAC